AGCCGCTTCTTGATGGCATGGCAAGGTTCGTACTCGGTTGCATCTTGCTATGTCGTCATCAACCACCTCAGAGTATGGAAAGCGTCTCTGTATGTTGCCTATTTAATGCCATCTTTGTTCCTCCCTAAAAACCGTCCTCCGAATTCCTGTTGCCACTTTGCCTGTTCCATCCACGGGTTCCGACTCAGGGACCCTTTCGTGATTTCAAACCCGGCGGCCTCCTGCTGTACGCCTGGGTGTGCGACTACCCCGATCGGCAAGATCAGTTGCACACTCTCGCATGGATCGCGGATGCCGTGCAGCATCTGCTATGCTGCTGTGAGGTAACATGGAATGTGCACGCATTTGAATACATTTTGATTTTGTGTGGCTGATATACTCCATGTAGTGACCACCCTTACCTTCATATCCCATCCATCATTCCTTCCTGTGCTACACCAGGAGCATCTGGGGGCTGTCAAGGCACGTAACAACGCCGCGCACGCCTAGACAGCAGCAATGGATCGTTAACGAGGCGGCTGGGACGACAAATAGCCAGGACAACCCGTGCAAGACCTACTCTAAACCTACCCTGTTGAGGTGAGTGATGTGTTTTCGCGGCTAATGTGCCGTCTATGACTCGCCTGCCCATCATGAATTGCCAGATATGCTCTGCCCTACTATTGAACCCACCGCACATGTGGTTTATCCCAACTAACTGTACTTTCGCCTGCATTCCTTACCGCATCCCCATTTCCAGTGCGTGCTCTGGAAGTGGGATGTCCCAGAGACCGCGTGGGCAATCCCTACCTCGTGGTCATGCCTGACATCATGCACCAGGCGGACCTGGGCATCATGACGCACATTGTGGCTGTCGTGCGCAAGATGAAGAAGCGGCGTGTGAAGCAGATGGACAGGTCATTGTTTTGGGATTGGATTCGTTGCTATTGGTCACATTTACACACCGTACAAGTACTGTGCTCTCCCTGACATGGTTCTGCCCTTGCGTTGAACTGATGTGTATGGGCAGGCGCTGTCACTCTTCGCGACCGCATGCGCCTGAATCACATGCGCCTACCGGAGAGCACCTACTTCGAGACCGGAGCCTGTGTCGCGGCCTATGAGCACAGGGCCGTCATGCAGGTATTATAGCCCTGGATGTTAACATCTTGTGCGATAGGCTGCCCGATACAAACAGCACCCCGAATTCATGTTAAACCCACATACCCTGCTGCCTGCCCCCCCCCCCCCCCCCCCCCCCTCCATTCCCTGTTGCTTGTCCTGACCGCCCCTCTACAGTCTGCTCATGCTGCCACCTCTTTGTCCCTACTCTCACACACCATCTGCGCTCACCCTTCCCTGTGCTGCTATCCATGAACCTTGCAGTTATGGTGTTTTGTTTTTTGCCGGCCTGCTTCGCCAGCCCCAGATCGATACCATTCGTGCCTATCTTGGCTGGTACCTCCTGCGTCCCAGCCACAGGGGCACACAGAGCAGTTTCCTTCGGGAGCTGAAGAAGATGACCTCCCGGTACTAATACCATGCAGTGTAACCCCTGTGCATGGGATGATTGTTTGGCTACTGTAAATGTGCTCTTGTAGTAGGCAATCTGTAAATGTTTCTGCAAAACTAGTATAGGAAAGGATTAGGACCCGCTAAAAAATATAGAAAAAACGGACTCTGATATGACTGCATGTGTTGTCATCCTCCCACTCCCACCAGGCTCGTTCAGCAGTTGCAGGCTGCCTTCCCCAAGCAGCCATCCTCTTGGTGCCTTGTGAAAACCCATCTCATGTCGCACTACATCGACTCCATTCGTAGCACGGGTTATGTGGCCGAATTCAGCACCAAATGTTTGAGCACTTGCACGGACCGTTGGTAAAGAGGATTTACCGTCGGTCCAACAAGCGCAATGTAGATGGGCAGATCATGAAGTTCCATGCTAGGCGCATTCCGGATGTGGTGCCGGTGGATGATCCTGCTGGCCGGGACACCGCCATGCGGCAGGTAAATCTGTTTAGTGCTTGAATTGCATGGATATGAATGCAGAGTGTAATAATATCAATAGCATACGTGTTGGGGTGCAATGAATTGCACGACATCCTGCCGTCTGTTTGTACGAGTATGCGTGTGCGAATGCATTTGCGTGTGAATGGTGTGTTCGTGTGTTTGTTTGCTTTCGCATTTTTTGCTTGATGCATTTGCAGTACTCGCGCAATGTGTTCGGGCACAACATTGTACGCGTTATGAACAGTGCAAGCAGAAAGGACGAGCTCGCAAAGGAACCCAAGATGGAAGCTTTGCAGTTCGGTTGAGTTGATTGCGCAGATTCAGTTCTATCCAACTCGGAATTGTACTGTTTTGTTTGGTTAACTATAGTGTAGCAGGGAAGGCACTATAGGGTACAATTTAGGTGAAGGTTGGATGTTGTTTTGTCTTGTATCTGCATGCTACAAGGCCAGTGGAAACCAGCGGAACCAGCATTTGGCTGGTTGGGAAAAGACAAAACAGGTTCTGTTTTTAGAACCTGAACCTGGTTGTTGTTTTCCCTGGTTGGAAAAACAGAACCAGAGGTTGTTTACCAACCTACCACCTGCTATTTTGTCCAGCCAGGTTGGTTCTGTTGCTTGGAATTATTTGGGATCATCCCTGGTTGTTCCCAGGTTGATTCCCAAGGTTCTTGCTAGCTAGAACTATTTAATCCTTCTCTGTTGTACTGAATGGTCAATTGATTCAAGCGAATTCCTTCTTCGCTGGAATTTCGTTTCTGCGCTATTCGACGGCGGAATGCTACCCGAGTCAACGCTAGTATGCTAGCATTCCAACGCTAGGCAAACGCTGTCCGAGCCATAACTTAGTAATGGCAGAACTTTTTCGCGAGGCAACTTGGCTCATTTTAAAGCTCCTGGAGCGAGCTTCGATATAACGAATTCTCAGCTTAATCCGACCGACGGTCTGCACGGCACGCTGCGCGACGTTCAAGGTGCTCTTGCTGTTTTGACTAAGTCCTTCTTGATCCCTCTCTCTACAAACTCGGACCCGAGGATAGGGGCTGGTCTTGTACCAGGCACCCAGGGACCCTTGGAGGTGACCCCGAGGAGAAGTTTTTAAGTTTGATTAAGTCCTAATAGCTTGAGTTTATTAGGGCCGTACACCAACAAGCTGGTATCAGAGCTGCGTTATAGTGATCCTCGTTATAGGTAGCTATGGTGGGCAACACCTCGGCGGGAGCTGGTGAATCTTCAGCCCAAGATCGTAGCGGCAGCCAAGATTCTGGTCTTTCAGCGCCAAGGGGAGCGCGAACAAACCAGGGCTCGCTTGTCAAGGAGGTGCTGAAGAATTTCACCGTCGAGAAGTTCAATGGTGAGGGCTATGATGATTGGGCCTGGAAAATGCAATTATATTTCCGTCAGATCGGTTTGCTGAAACTAATGATTGGGGAGGAGCCTAGACCGAGTGACCCCACGCTGCAGGAAGATTGGGACGAGCGCTCCTCGGCTGGCTACTATTTGATGTCGCAGAGTTTGGAGCTGAACCAGCGTCACCACGTCATGCACCTGCTGCCGGAGGTTGAATGCGGTCCGAAGGCGTGGACCGTGTTGAAGGAGCTGCACGCCCCGACCTCCGTTGTCGCAACGTTGATGCTGGAGAGGGAGCTGTCCGCGTTGCGCCTGAGCGAGGGAGAGCCGGTGCAACCAGTCCTGGACAAGATGCGCGACCTCTACGCGAAGTTGACGACCGCGGAATCACCTACCCGGAGCAGACCAAGTGCTTGAAGATGCTCTCGCTGCTGCCAGAATCGTGGCTTCAATTTACGAGCGGATTGAGCCTGCCGCAGAACCAGAGCTTGTGGACGCTCGAGTGGGTGCGGACGAAGATTCTGGAGGAGGACTTCCGTCGCCGCCAACTGAGGGGTGGAGACGACGGCGCAAAAGCGGCTACGGGATGCAAGGGAGCCGACGTGGCAGAGGACGTGGCTTCGGTGGTGCTGGACGCGGTGCAAAGAAAGACGACGACTCCAACGACCAACAAGGAGGTACCGGTTGGGGTCGCGGTGCGAAATCTGGACGTGGGGGCAAGTCGGATGCTGGTGGCAAAATGAAAGGGAGTTGCTGGTATTGTGAGAAGGAAGGGCACCCCTGGTTTTTGTGCTATAAGAAACCCGATGGATGGAACCCCCAGAATCGTCACCAGGATGGCGGCGCGCGGAGGAACCAGAAAAACGGCGCCAACATGGTCGCTGATTCATCCGACAACAACCCGAAGGGCAACGGCGGTGCGGAGAAGAAGAAGGAGCGCACCGCGGGCCAATTCTTCCATGTAGGAGACAAGGGGGAGCAAGGAGACGCCTCTGCCAAAGTTGGAGCAGAGCTGCATCCCCTAGACTATTGGGTGTTGGACACAGGCGCTGCTTGGACGATGACGCCGCGCAAGGACCTGCTGGACGAAGTACGAGCTGCACCGATCAATGAAGTGTGCTCCGCCTCTGGACACATGTTGAAGGTGGCTGGTGCGGGACGAGCTGCGTTTAAGGGAGCGGATGGCAAGCCGGTGGTGCTGCACGACGGTTTCTCTTCGTCCCCGACTTGAAGGCCAACCTTATCTCCCTCCGTAAGCTTGGCAAGGCTGGGGTGAACACCAACACGGATGGGGCTCGCACTTATAAGGGGAAGCTGGGCAATCGGGTGCTTTGGGATCTGCACGAGAGCAAGGACGTGTACAGATCTATGTGGCAGCTGCCGGCCCTGGCGTGGCATGGTGGGGGGCAGGCTGGAGAGGGGTCTGCATCCCAGGGGGAGTGCAATGCCGTTGGAGGGGTTGGTGTGAAAGTGTCGGCCAGATCTGGGGAGACAGATTGGGCAACGGCACACCGGCGCTTAGGGCATGTGGCAATGCCTTTGCTGAAGCAGCTGGAGAAGGATGGAGCCGTTAAGGGTCTGAAGCTGAACGGACAGCCACCCGATGACAACTGTGAAATCTGTTTGCTTTCAAAGTTCACCCGTTTCCCTTTCCATAGTGTGGCTGGCAGGAGCAAGAAGCCTTTGGAGCTGGTCCACATGGACTTGGTGGGGCCGCTGCCGGTGCAAGGGCACAAGGGGGAGCGGTATTTTCTTACAATTGTGGATGACTGGAGCAGGCTGATGTGGGCGTATCCGCTGAAGCAGAAGGACCACGCCGCCTCCACGATACGGGACGATTGGCTGCCATTCGTGGAGAAGCAGGCGGAGTGTGTAGTGAAGCGGATTAGGACAGACCGGGGTGGTGAGTTCCTTGGAGCTGAAATGACGGCCTGGCTCAAGAAGCAGGGCATCCAGAGAGAGCTGACCACGGCTTATACCCCACAGTCCAATGGTGTAGCAGAACGGGCAAACCGGACCATTCTGGAGACAGCTAGGGCGCTGCTCATAGAATCTGGCCTGAGCAATTCTATGTGGCCTCATGCTGTCCGGCACGCCACTGTCGCTAGGAACAGGGTGCTCACCAAGGTTGGGGATGACTCGTGGGTGCCGTTGGAGAGGTGGCTTGGGAGGAAGCCGCCGTGGGACATGCTGAGGGTGTTCGGTTGCATGGCAGTCGCCCACGTTCCCAAGACCTACCGCAGTAAGTTGGGGGCGAGTGCAATCTGGTGTGTGCATTTAGGGCTGGCTGCTGAGAGCAAGGGATGGCTGCTGTGGGAACCATCCAAGGGTGTGTTTTTTGACAGCAGGGATGTGAAATTCATTGAGGGCATGATGTATGGGAGCTGGGAGAAACAGCCGGAGGCCCGGGTGTCCCAGCAGATGGAGCAGATCACCATGCAGCTGGACCTGACTCCTAGTGTGTGGGAGGAGGGAGAGAAGGCAGCTGCGGGAAATGGTGATGGAGAGAAGGTACAGGAGGCATCTGCTGGTGGAGAAAAAGGTGTGGAAAGTGGCGGCAGCACTAGTGGAGCTGCTGGACCCGAGGGAGGAGAGAAGCAGCAGGGAAAAACTAAGAAGCCGAAGGGTGTCGTTATGAAGGGATGGGAGACACCCGTCTCCAGGCCAGGACGTACCCGTATGGCTACTAAGAAGCTGACTGCAGGAACTGATGCAGCAGAGCAGCAGCTAGGGACCGAAGAGGCATTGCTGATTCTACCTCATGGCTATGACCCGGATGAGGAGGATGAGCCTGCGTACTGTTTTCTTGCCCCTGCACCAGAGGAACCAGCTAGCATGGAAGAGGCATTAGCTGGACCAGATAGGGACAAGTGGCTGGCTTCTAGGGATGCTGAGTACCAGAGTCTGCTGGAGAATAGGACATGGGATCTGGTGGTGCTGCCTGATGGGAAGAAAGCGATACAATGCAAGTGGGTGCTGAGGATCAAGACCGATGACAAGGGGCAGGTCACCATCTACAAGAGTAGGCTGGTGGCGAAGGGGTTTATGCAGAAGGAGAAGCAGGACTTCAACGAGATCTTTGCTCCCACTGCCAAACCCCCTACCCTCCGTGTCTTGTTGGCAGATGCAGCTGTTAGTGGGAAATTCATCATTCAGATGGATATTTCAACGGCATTCCTGAATGGGATTTTAGAGGAGGATGTGTACATGACGCAGCCGCCTGGGTATGAGGATGGTACGGGCAGGGTGTGCAAGCTCAACAAGTCCATCTACGGCTTGAAGCAGGCGCCACGCTGCTGGTACCAGAAGTTGGCAGCTGTTTTAGAGGAGATGGGATTCAGGACCAGCAGCTGTGATGAGAGCCTCTTTCTCAAGGGCGAGGGGGAGAAGCTGGTGCTGTTTCTGGTCTATGTGGACGACATTCTTCTCTTCAGCAGCAGCATGAAGGAGATCCAGAAAGTGCAGCAGCAACTGATGGAAAACTTCAAGTGCAAGAACCTTGGGGAGGTAAAGTACTACCTCGGGATGCACGTGGAGAGGGATCCTGATCACAGGTGGTTGAAGCTGCACCAGGAGAAGTTCATCAAGGAGCTGGGGGAGAAGTATGGGATTGAGAATGAGCGCAAGGTTGCAACTCCCCTGCCAGCAGAATTCAAGCTTGTGAAGGCTGCAGAAGATGAAGGGGTTGAAGCCGAGGAGCAGCAGCAATTTCAGTCCTTGGTGGGCAGCCTCTTGTACGCAGCAGTTCACACGAGGCCCGACATCTCTTTCTCGGTTGGGCAGCTGGCTAGGGTGGTGCAGAATCCATCAGAGGAGCAGGTGGATGCAGCTGAGCGTGTGGTGAAGTACCTGAACTCTCACCCAAGCATTGGAGTTCAATACTCCGCATCTGCACAGGTGAAGCAGAAAGGGGTGGAGGTGCTGAAAGAGAAGGGGGAGAGGCTTGGAGAAGGCAAGCTATTTCTCACTTGCTTTACCGATGCTACGTGGGCTTCTGAGAAGGAGGATTCCTCATCTGTGGGAGGATACATCTGCGTAGTTGGGGGAGGACCTGTTAGTTGGAGGTCCAAGAAGCAGACGGAGACGGCACTCTCTTCCGTAGAATCAGAGTACATGGCGATGTTCCATGGGGTGAAGGAGGTGATTTGGCTGAGGAGGCTGTTAGAGGAGATTGGCCAGGAGCAGAAAGTTGCTACGCCGCTGTTTTGTGATAGCAAGGGGGCTCTTGGGATGGCCAGAAACGCTGTGCTTCATGGGCTGAACAAGCACATGCGTATCAAGTGGCACTGGCTGCGTAAGGAGGTGAAGAGGGGGACGGTGCATCCGATCTACATCAAGACTCACCAGCAGCCAGCAGACTTTCTCACCAAGAGGCTTGCGGATGAGCCTCATTGGCGTTGTGTGCGCATGAGTGGAATGAGCATGAACTAGCATGGAATGACGGGGATGCAGCCGGCAGGCTGAGGGGGAGTGTGTTGGGTGCAAATGCACATTGCACGACATCCTGCCGTCTGTTTGTATGAGTATGCGTGTGCGAATGCATTTGCGTGTGAATGGTGTGTTCGTGTGTTTGTTTGCTTTCGCATTTTTTGCTTGATGCATTTGCAGGTACTCACGCAATGTGCGCTTCGGCACAACATTGTATGCGCTATGAACAGTGCAAGCAGAAAGGACAAGCTCGCAAAGGAACCCAAGATGGAAGCTTTGCAGTTCGGTTGAGTTGATTGCGCAGATTCAGTTCTATCCAACTCGAAATTGTACTGTTTTGTTTGGTTAACTATAGTGTAGCAGGGAAGGCACTATAGGGGTAAAATTTAGGTGAAGGTTGGATGTTGTTTGTCTGTATCTGCATGCTACAAGGCCAGGGGAAACCAGCGGAACCAGCATTTGGCTGGTTGGGCAAAGACAAAACAGGTTCTGTTTTTAGAACCTGAACCTGGTTGTTGTTTTCCCAGGTTGGAAAAACAGAACCAGAGGTTGTTTACCAACCTACCACCTGCTATTTTGTCCAGCCAGGTTGGTTCTGTTGCTTGGAATTATTTGGGATCATCCCTGGTTGTTCCCAGGTTGATTCCCAAGGTCCTTGCTAGCTAGAACTATTTAATCCTTCTCTGTTTGTACCTGAATATAGTCAAATTGATTCATGTGAATTCCTTCCTCGCTGGAATTTCGTTTCTGCGCTATTCGACGGCAGAATGCTACCCGAGTCAACGCTAGTACGCTAGCACTCTAATGCTAGGCAAACACCGTCTGAGCCATAACTTAGTAATGGCAGAACTTTTCGCGAGGCAACTTGGCTCATTTTAAAGCTCTTGGAGCGAGCTTCGATATAGCGAATTCTCAGCTTAATCCGATCGACGGTCTGCACGGCACGCTGCGCGACGTTCAAGGTACTCTTGCTGTTTTGACTAAGTCCTTCTTGATCCCTCTCTCTACAAACTCGGACCCGAGGATAGGGCTGGTCTTGTACCAGGCACCCAGGGACCCTTGGAGGTGACCCCGAGGAGAGGTTTTAAGTTTGGTTAAGTCCTAATAGCTTGAGTTTATTAGGCCCTTACACAAACAATACGTTGGCATGCAATTGAGACTGATACACGAACACTTATCAAGAGTCATACTTCCTCCCTGTGGAGTTACCAGAAACCCCCACCTCCACCAACTGGTTTGCAAGGAAGTGGGCCAAGCAACACCGTAGTGCCCAAGCTGCCCTCAAGGATGCGCTTATACGTTATGCAGGATGCGTCACCAAGGTTCGAGTAAGTACGTTAGTTGATAGTTTATGCAATCAATCATCATTTGGCTGGCTTGTATTATACATGACTAACATCCACTATTATGCAGGCCCATGCATCGCTGGCAATCCCTGCAGCAGACGACGCCAGCTTCTCAAGAGTTTCTCACTTCGTTTGAGCGACCCCTGACTATTTTGAGCGGCCGTGGTACTCGGATGTTGCAGTAGAGGGTGTAAGGTATGGTCGGAGAGAGGAGTGGTATGCAAGGTTGCTTCTGTTGTTCCATACAAAAATACGTGGAGAGAGGGAGGAGCTGGCTTACGTTAGATATTGGAATTCAATCGGAGAGGATGCTGCTTCCGGATGCCTTCGCCTCAAGTGGAAAATAGGAATGTACGCGTACTCTGTGATTCCGATTGAAGCGCTGCTCCGCCACGTTACTAATGCATGGATTCTAGGCTCAAGTTCTGACACCCAACAGCTAGTCCAACTCTCCTCTGACACACCACAACACATTGACAGCCGCCAAAGCAAGGAGAACATGACGGGCTGAACGTGCCCAGTGACGGAGCGACTGGGCCACAGGAAGGCGCTCAGACGGGGGCGACGGGGGGAGTAGTACACACGCCCAGCGGATCGGGAGAACGACAAAGGGGCGATCCCTTAACGCGGTCTCGGCAAGAAGGGCTGAGTGGCTACCAGCGGAGTGCTTGATGGCAGAGCACAGAGGAAGAAGCGTCGATGCAGCGCTGGAGGTACATTTAGCTCCCAAAGATCGAAGCCCCTGAACACTTTTTGAGCAATGCCAGGTGAGGTCCGTCTTTGAAGAACTACATTATGTAGTTAGAGAACTTACGAGCGCGCTGTAAGAAAGACCGGATGGATCCGGAGGCAGAGACATACTATTGTATCTCTAGGAAGGAGCTGCTGGAATGGGCATCAGGGCGCGCACCGGGGGTGCGGGATCCGACGGCGCGCTTCTTGGCGATGCTGCGGGAACAGTTTTCCCTGCAGACGGTGGAGCGGGTGGTAGAATTTTGCGGATTCAAACGTCGTGAAGGCGAATCTCTGCTAGCATAATATGGGCGGCTGGTGGAGCTCAAAGAAGACATGAACTGCCAAGATCGGGGCAGATTGATTGGAAAGTTCATCCACGGTCTGAGCTTCACCCTGCAGCAGGATGTGCAGGTGGGGTATTCGAGATAGGACCAGAAGCCACGCTGAAGGAGGCGTATGAGAAAGTGAAGCGGGTGGAAAATGGGTCGGCGCCTATTCGAGGTGGAACGCACGGTGGATCGTGGGCCGGAAAGAAGGCGTCCTGCGTGGGCAACTGTACCTGCATACCCAGAAGCTGATGAACGGGCGAGATCAGACGGGCGCCGCTGCCACAACTCTGGACAACCGGGTCACTTACGCCGGGACCGTCTCAATCCCGCGGCATGTTCGTTGTGCGACAATCGTGCGCACATGCGGATTGAATGCCTGGAGGCGCCCAACTGCACAAGATGCAGGCGGTGAGGGAATCGGGACGGGGAGTGCTATGCGAACAAAAGGGAACGACGGGGGGTGGAGGAAGGAGAAGATCGGCAAGCAACTATGGCGCGCTTGCGGGCATAGCTAGCAGGGCTGGAGGCAGTTGACTCCCTGCGATGGTGGTGGAAGAAAAAGATGAATCGTAGGAACCGGCTTTCATGCTGATGGCACAATCGGCGAGGGACCGGGACGAATTGGGTTTAAGGGGCGGGGCGCGGAGGCAATTTTTTTTATAGGATGTGCGCTGCAAAGACGGACCGAGGAGGCAGGCTAGTGAAGAAGACGGTGAGGCATGAGCTGTGAATCGGCATCCGCTAGAGCGCATGATATCCCAAGCACGGTGCTAACAATCGAACCAGGCGGCACTTGGTCAAGAAGCTGCAGCTGCACAGGCCAGGAAGGCTGACTGCGGAGGGATATCTGTTGATGACAGCGGAAGGAGGCGAGGCGAAATGGATGCCTAAGACGAGTAAGCAATGGCGCTGACGTTGAACCCAATGATAGCAGAGGAATGCACGCTGCAGGTCCATTGCGGAGTATCAAAGTCCAATGACTTCGATCTTCTTGTTGGAGTGGAGTTTCCGTTTTGAGTGGGGTCAACCATATGCATGTGGGGAAGAAGGTTGAGTACCGAGTGTGCTACTGGGAGAAGCGGGCCCCATCGGTACGCTGCCGGTGCGCTTCGTGCGGAGGGAGCCAAGAAGGTGTACCATTGTACTGAGGTGGAGGTGCGCGAAGAATTGGAGTGTCTACTTGGCAAACAGGTTGCTTGTCTTCCTGCCCCAACCAGCGGGCAAGCGAAGGCGGGGTGGAGCTGAAGTCCTTATACTCTAACACAAAGCGGTTGTTGGGGTTGACGATGGTACTGGAGTTGTTCGGAGGCATAGGAACCGGGCTGGCAGCACTTCTAAAGGCGGGATGTGAGAGTACAACGGCTTATGCCAGCTATGTTTGCTTGCCTAGTCTTATTCTGTGCTATTTTAGTATAGTTTTATTTATGCATGCATGAATTGCTTGATTTCCTAGGTGCTTTCCTATATTTATTATAGTTATAGCTGTTGGGTGCAAATTTACATTGCACGACATCCTGCCGTCTGTTTGTACGAGTATGCGTGTGCGAATGCATTTGGGTGTGAATGGTGTGTTCGTGTGTTTGTTTGCTTTTGCAATTTTCGCTTGATGCATTTGCAGGTACTCGCGCAATGTGCGCTTCGGCACAACATTGTACGCGCTATGAACAGTGCAAGCAGAAAGGACGAGCTCGCAAAGGAACCCAAGATGGAAGCTTTGCAGTTCGGTTGAGTTGATTGCGCAGATTCAGTTCTATCCAACTCGAAATTGTACTGTTTTGTTTGGTTAACTATAGTGTAGCAGGGAAGGCACTATAGGGGTACAATTTAGGTGAAGGTTGGATGTTGTTTGTCTGTATCTGCATGCTACAAGGCCAGGGGAAACCAGCGGAACCAGCATTTGGCTGGTTGGGCAAAGACAAAACAGGTTCTGTTTTTAGAACCTGAACCTGGTTGTTGTTTTCCCAGGTTGGAAAAACAGAACCAGAGGTTGTTTACCAACCTACCACCTGTTATTTTGTCCAGCCAGGTTGGTTCTGTTGCTTGGAATTATTTGGGATCATCCCTGGTTGTTCCCAGGTTGATTCCCAAGGTCCTTGCTAGCTAGAAGTATTTATTCCTTCTCTGTTTGTACCTGAATATAGTCAAATTGATTCAAGCGAATTCCTTCCTCGCTGGAATTTCGTTTCTGTGCTATTCGACGGCGGAATGCTACCCGAGTCAACGCTAGTATGCTAGCACTCCAACGCTAGGCAAACGCAGTCCGAGCCATAACTTAGTAATGGCAGAACTTTTCGCGAGGCAACTTGGCTCATTTTAAAGCTCTTGGAGCGAGCTTCGATATAGCGAATTCTCAGCTTAATCCGACCGACGGTCTGCACGGCACGCTGCGCGACGTTCAAGATACTCTTGCTGTTTTGACTAAGTCCTTCTTGATCCCTCTCTCTACAAACTCGGACCCGAGGATAGGGGCTGGTCTTGTACCAGGCACCCAGGGACCCTTGGAGGTGACCCCGAGGAGAGGTTTTAAGTTTGATTAAGTCCTAATAGCTTGAGTTTATTAGGCCTTTACACCAACAAGCTGGTATCAGAGCTG